CTGAAAGGCTTTTAATTTGAAATTTTTGAGCTGTACAGAAGTATGTTATCTTGCAGTTAAATAGAAAGCAGAGCTGAAGTACCTGAGGAGGGTGAAAGCAGTTTAAATCTTTCGATTTAATTCACACTAAATGTTAGATTTTAGCAGTTAAACCTTCTAACAGCACATGGATACAGCTGTGACCTCTGACCTCCAGTCCTTTCAGAATGACTTACCTGTGTGCTGTAACCGAACAACTGCTGTCAGTCTGTTTCTTCCTGAGCTCCTCTGGTGTCCCAGTCACTATACTGTGACGTCACAACCAGACGAGCTCAGTGCTGATTGGCAGCTCAGTGTTCAGTTACAGTCACCAGTAAAGATGGGAGCTTTTAATTTGAAGGAGCAGGAATAACGTGACACAACTTCTTCAAATTAAAAACCTCTGCAGCTCCCATCATGCCCCTCCCCCTCCGTCCCCTTTCTGTCATGTGACAGTGGCCGTGTTCGCTTGATGTCTCAGCGCACCTCGTGGCCGTTCTGCATCCCGGACACTTGCCGGGACGCAGAACGGCGCAGGTAACGTAAGCCGGGTGGGCTCAGGTGCGTTGCTTACATCATCAGTGAAGATGGCCAGCTTGCCACTCTCCAACATGTCCTCGAGCTCCTCGTTGGTAGTGGTTCTTCCAGCTGCAGAGAGAGAGCACAGAGCAACACTGTTAGAGTCGCACAGCATCGCAGCAAGAAAACGACGAATCAGGAAAAAAGCTGACAGAAAACGATGTTTTGCTAAACACACCAACAGAGACACATAATCGAGCAGCTGGACTCATGGAAGATGGCACTTAAACTGAATCCGGCCCGATGTTAAACAGCAAAGCGGGGACGCTGTTCTTGGACACGTTACACGCCTGAACACGATCCAATAGGAAATCTGTATGAACTAGGGATGCACCGATACCGATACTGGTATCGGGGCCGATACTGTAAAATGTGTGTGTACTCATACTCGTAAAAGTTAACCGATACCAACTTATTTCATTAATCAGAGGGTGGCTTGTCATTTCTGTTGTAGTTTTTTAGATTGGCCACTAGGGGGCCAATTATTATTTTATTTATTATTTATTTAATAATAATTATTTTGTTTGTTTGTTTACAATATGGACACTCTGCAATAATTTAGTTTATTTTTTTCTCAAACCTAATTTGTATTTATTTGATTCCAAACAGAAGTGTTTATTTATTATTCTGAAAGCTCGAGACAGTGCCAATAGTTCAGTGATATTTTGTTAAATTACAATGTGGAGACTCTGCAATAATTTAACAGAAGTGCTTATTTTTCACTTGAAATTTTTTTGTGGTCATTTTTATTAAGATTTTATTTTTTATCGGTAGAGAATAAAATAAAACCTGTCTTCCAATTCATTGTATTTGTGTGTGTGTGTGTGTGTGTGGTAGTATTGTTTTTTGTACTCTGTATCGGCAAGTACTCAGATCCAAGGTTTGAAAAAATTGGTATCGTTGCATCCCTAGTATAAACATAACTAACAAGCTCTCTGATCATGTGCTTTGTATAAACCCACAGCCGAGAGACTAAACGTAGAACTTAAAAAATAATCAAGAGTTTTGGCTCATGATGAAAACGTTAATATGTTCTGTTTTCACAGTGGCCATGTGTCCACAAACTTTTGGCCACACAGGGTAAGTCTGGCAGCTGTGTGAAGGTCAGCTGATGCTGCTGAGAGGAAAGTAGCTGCACGCGGCCTCTGCAGTCTGTGCTGTTTATCTGTCTGCATCAGTGTGTGTGTGTCTGTGTCTGTGTGTGTGTCTGTGTGTGTGTGTGCGTCCTGTGATGTTTATCTACACACTGTGTTGACCTCATTTATTATTTACATCAAACTGACTGACTGACTGAAACACCAACAGCTGCAGTTCCTGTGACGTCCAGCAGAGGCAGCAGTGAGCCAGCCCCACACAGACAGCAGCAGCTCTGATGTTTAGATTGTGATTATCTTCCCTCCACAGGTTTGTGCTGTATTGGCCTTTCTAGTCTCACTGACCACTCAAAGTCAGAGTCATCAAGACCTTCGAGCCTTCAGGTTGAGAGATGACCTCTGACCTCTGAGCAACCATGGTGCTGACATACAGTCAGCATGTAGTAAGACTGCGTGTTGCTGGCGTGTGGTGTACTCACTGATCTCCAGCTGCCTCTGGATGCGGTCCTTGCAGCGGTCGCGGTACTTGGACTGCGTGGTGTTGTACTCAGTCATCACCTCCACGAACTTGCGTGACAATGTCGAGTGCTGCAGGAACACAGAACACTTTTACCCGGAGCCATAAATTCATCCACGTCTGCATTCATAAAAAACATCACCCGGCCTCCGCCCTGAAATCTCCACCTGTGTGTCACACGTTTAGACAAAACTATAAGATGACAATAAAACAGCTTTAAAAAGCTTAAAAATGCATCAAAAGCTTCATCAGATCATGTTGTTCAGACATAAAGCACACACACTGCTGTCAGTGCTGTTGCAGTTCTTTTTCTCTGCCACCAGGAGGCAGCAGGGAGCAGGCTGCTGGAGAGGAGTGGGGGAAGCCAGGAGCCAATGACAAAGCAGAATACTGCAGGGTCAAATTACAGACAAATCACGAGACGAGCTGCGGAGGCGAGAGGGCGCCTGGAGAACACAAATAGCACCGAGTCACATGGTTCCTGTGAGGAGGCGCACACGCTCAGTAGGACGTTAGAGCAGAAAGAAGAAAGGAAGGTACAGCAGGAAGGGAGGATCCCTGAGGGGGTGACAGCACGGGGTCAAGGGTCACCGCTTGCACAAAGGGACTGTTAACATTTCAGCTGGAAGGGCAATTAAATGACACAAAATAGCCTCCTAACATCCAGCAGGTCAGGGGTCAGGGGTCAGGAGGAGGGCTTTCTGATGTCAAAACAAACGTATGAGCTTTCACTTGAAAGGTATGAATTTATTGTCATGCAGCTGAAACGACCTCGCACACGTGGCTTGTTTCAGAGGTCAGATGTTCCACGGCTCACCTGCGTCTTACGGATCCTGAGGTCCGCTGATGATCTGTTGAGCCCCTCCTCCTGCTCGATGCTCTGCTCGATTGCTGCGGGAAAACAAACAGAGCGAGTTCAACGCTGAAGCAAAGCTGGCAACGCAACAGACGCGCCAACGGGAACCAACGAGGGCGAACGAGGACCGGACGCCTCGCTCAGAGTTCAGCACTGAGAAAACCGTTAAACAGCTTCAGACTAAGGTTATCGTAGTGAACTACAACCACAGACAAATTCAATATAATAACAACACTGAATTACTGAAACCACCAGAACTCAAAGTAACACCAGCGTGGCGGTTTGTGTTTCTGCTAAATGTGTTTCGGCCTCTTTCAGCATTAATGCAGGAAACTGAAACTCGCTGCCTTTGAGGACGTTGAGCAGAAACACATTTTTGAAAATGTTTTTTTTCCATATGACAAATGAAAACTGAGGGACGTTAAACAGCCTGTTCACCAACACTGCCCTCCTCATCCTCACCCTGCTTCATCGCCTCAGCGCTCGACTGAAGTTGAATAATGTAACACCAACGAAGCTCCACAGGAACAACGTCGATGTGTCAAAATCAGTCCTGTTGTCATATATTCAGGCTGAAATCTGTTTCCTGCTCTGACCGTAAACGACGTCCATGATTTGTACAGCTGCTGTTAGAGATAGTTTCTAATTCTAATGAACTGTGTTTATAAAAGTCCAATTTCACAGATTAAAACCTTTATTACAATCCAGAAGCTGTGACAGCAGAGGTCAACTAACTGCTCAGTGAACACAAACACTGTTAAACCTACATCACAGGAATAACAAAAACAAACCTTTGGCTGCAGGAAGAGACACACTCGTCTCCTCGTCTGCTGTTAACATTTGTTTGTGTTCAGCACAAACTTTAGATTGATTTGATTTAGTCATTCATCTGAGTTTCTCTTTATATTTGCTGATTATTGCCCATTCTTTAGTGGCGTTTTGCCCCACAGCATGAGAGCCGCTCCTGAAGTGGATTTTGTAATACGCTTGTCAGCCTGAAGGGGGCGATGCAAAGACTGTGGACCTGCAGCTGCAGATGAACTAATGCAAGGTCAGACAGACTGAGATCTGTGAGGATTTAAAATGAAAACGTCACAGCTGGACGTTACCTCAGTGTGTGCATGCGTGGACACCATGGTAACCGGCTGCAGGTCTGTCCTGTGTCATGTGACTCTGATGTGAGTTTGTCTGGCATTTGATGAGCTGAAATGCTTACATAATGGTTTCCACTCTCACTGTTCTTGTTTTAGATACAACGTGGGGCCCCATGTCTGTTGGGGACACTGTGGGGACACTGTGGGGACAGTGTGGGGACAGTGCCCCCGTAATGAAGATGATGAAATCTTATGCTAGGACCTGCTTTAAGTCTCCATGAAATTAATGCAAGTTGATATCTTGTAATGTGAAGTGATAAAATCACGGTGTGTGTGCTTCCTGGCTCGTGGCCCAGCTGCTCGCTGCTGGATCCACAATGACTCAGCAATATCACATAGCACTGATGGTGCGTGTGCGCAGTGTTGGTGTGCATTTGTCTGTGTGACAGTGAGATGAAAACTCGGTGAGTAAGCAACAGCTTGTGGGTCCGTGTGTGTCTGAGGACGACTTTAGCATCTTTAGCTTATTTAGGAAAAAAAGCATGTTTGTTACGTAAAAGTCTGTTGCAGGAATATGAGCTTCATGCTGACAGTAAGAGTCCAGGAGCATGATGAAACAATCTGACATATTGATTATTGATATTACTGATACAGACAGAAACAGGAAGCAGAATGTCTAAAAAAAGGAGTTTCATCCCCAAACTTTGCTCTTCTTGGTAAAAGTCCAGCAGATGAGTGAAACCTCTGAATGAGCGCTTTATCGCACACAATCGCTGACAACATCAAAAACATCATATTGACTCGTCACGCCAGAACAAACGTGGCGTGGATGTGCTTGCCCCACCTCTGTAAGCTGCTCTGCAACTGCAGGCAGGGCTTATTTCAGATGTTATTCAGGGGTACTGTCTCTTTAAAAACTGGACAGTTTCAGTCTGAACCCACAGTCGCTCAGACACAAAAGACTTTTTAAGAACACAAATCTGCTGTGGGCAGAGCCTGTCTGTACCCCCATCCCTCAAACACCCCCCGAGGACGACAGATCTACAGTAGGACCTGCTGCAGTGTGTGTGTTTATAAAACACTCGCAGCCTCGCAGGGTTTCCAATTATAGCTTCATCTCCAGCATCAGCGCTACTCTCAGACTGCACATGTAGTCTGTGTGCGACACACAAATCGTTCTGGTGTGTGTGAGTGTGTGTCATCCTCAGGGTGTTCATATTAAAGCGGTGATGTCCTTGAACCTTCAGCATGCACTGACTCAGTAGCTTTAAGCTCATCTCTGCGAGTGCGTGTGTTGCTGTACCAGCGATTGCTGCTCGATATCTCGCCACGCCTGTTTCTGAACATCCTTCTTTTGCTGAAGGTCAACAGAAAACACCGTAAACCCTCCAATAAAGCTGGACTCACATTCAAAAGTCACGGGTGTAGGTATAACGGCCCCATGAGGCGTGGCCTCCTGTGTCACCTGTTCACAGGTGAATTATTTGCTGTGAATGTCACAAAGAGCTGGTCACATGTTTCACACAGGTGAGTTTAAAAACAAGAGAGGAGCTTTCAGAGGTCAGTGTCACAAATAGACCAAAGATCCCGGGTGAAGCGAACAACTTACTCTAGAAGTTATACCTGCGTGACATCACCACTTGTGGATCTATTGGCTGTGGATCAGGGGGCGGGACAACGGCAAGCTTTACATCCTCTGACACACGCGTCATCGACAGGTAATCTGAGGACCCTACTCCTCATTTCTGCCTCCATCTGCATGTTCTTGGACTCTTTGATATAGCTGCTTTGCATGAATCCGTTCAGAATAATCCTTCTTTACCTTGTTCTGGGTAACTTGTATGTGCACTATCCTGCTTTTAATCGAAGAGTTTTACAGCAACCAGCAAAACTCAAGCGTTCACAGACGCTGAAAATCACCTGCTAGCTGCGCGCTGAGCTCGTGTTTGACTGAAACAAGCTGCTCACAGCGCATCGAAATAAGCTCTCAGGCTGCAGTACGAAGTCCTGCCTCTTGAAACAGCAGCAGGAAACGGATTCATGCTGCTGGGACGGGAATATAAATACACTCGTCCTTCAGAGATTTCCCTGAGAACCCAAACTGACTTACAGCGAGTAACGTGAACTTCTAGAGCCTCGCAGTAGATGCTGTAAAGTAATTAAAGAATGCGTCGTGAATTCACTCGGCTCTGTCTGCAGCAGGACGTCGATATAAATGGGTTACGAGCGTCTCCGCTGCTTCCTCATCAGAGCTCCTCGCCTGCACCGTGATGTTTCCTGCAGCAGCGCCAGGACGTACCTTTTAATTTTGAGCGAACTTTATTGGCTGTCTTCTTGATGTCAGCTGTGAGGTCCTCCAACTCCTGCTTGGTCTCTGCAAAGAAAAGAAGCAACACAGTGAGTTTGTGACACCAACAGCAGAGATCTGAAGCTGAAACAGTCTCTCTTTACGGCTAAAGCTTTTTTCTGATTGGCTGCAAAAAGTTTGAAGAGCGGGTGGGCGGGCTTTGTGGTCCTCTCTGACATCATAAAGATCCAACACTGTGAGCCTGAGCCTGTCGGTGTCAGGTGCACAGGTGTTCCTGATCTAACCTAACCCAATAAAACGGTTGTTCTGGGTTATCATCAGGTGTTTATTATTCCTCATATTTGACGAGCTGCTTTTTGTGACACGATCATTAAAAATGATTCAATTTGATCTCTTCAGGAAGCTTCAGGAACGCCAAGACAAACATCTGTATTTCCCTTCATGGTTTAGTTTATATTTCATATTTGATCATTTTTATTCTCTAGGATCGATCGGGTGTTTCACCATCACGAGACCTCTTCAAACTCCACCTGACCTCCACCTCTTCCCTTCAAACTCCCAGCAATGAGTTGAGTTGAATTCAGAGACTCTGATTGGCTGTTAGCTGTTTTTGCTGAGCAGCTTTTGTCCTCTTGGTTTTGTGTAGAAGCTGAGCTGTCGTGTTTGCCTCCCCCTTCACTGCTGGTGTGTCGAGGCTTCCACTAAGCGTCCAATCAGGTCGATGCACGCACAGTCGTGTAAGCGCCGAGGCTAGAGGAAGCAGACGAGCAGGAGGGCGTGCAGCAACATCACATCCTGTCAGCCATGATGAAGGACAGCGGAGGCAGCAGGCGCCAACTGCAGCTGCGCGCTGAGATTTACAAGCGCTGCAGCGCCGCTTGGCCTTTCTCGCCACTGACTCGCCCGCTTCACTCCTGCAGCTCTCATTAGCATGTCGTGCTACAGCTGGAGAGCGGTCTGAATCCTGTGGGACTCGAACGTGAAGCTGAAGGATTTCTGCGGTTTCCACCGTCAGCACATCCATCCTGCAGAGGCTGCACACAGTTTAGCCCACTGATGACCTTCTTCCATTCATTTCTGACGAGTCAGCGACTTTATTTAATCTGCTAGTAAAGAAAAGACGTGCGACGCTGTAGCGGCGGCCTCAGCGCGGTCCACGCGTGACGGTTAAACACGAGCCTGTCTTTGGTTTCCTGAGCTCAGGTGTAACGCAGGACTTTATTGGTTAACAGTCGGAGGGTTTGATTGGTGGGTTGGTTTAAAGGACCAATCAGCATTAATGAGGCGGAGCTGATGTCGACACACCGCGTCGTTGTGCGATTGATGTTATTGATCAGCAGCTGAAACATGTTCAGCATCTGCAGACTCACATCAAACAGCATGAAGACGATTTATAATCAATAAAAGAACAGACGCTGAATCATTTTCTGCCCCTTTGTGGGCGTCGGCCATGTTATAGACTTACAGGAAGTTGGTCTCCAACGTGACCTGAAGCTTCATCGATTTCTTTTTATATCAAAAATCTTTCTTTACACTTTCAGGTACTTTTATTCTGAAAATCAGGACAAATTCCTACAGAGATCACAACGCGTCGGTCCGACATGAAGACACGAGTGATGCTTCAACGTGTTACCATAACAACAGGAAGTTGTTGTACCTCCAGTACGCCTGAACACAGGTGCCTCCATTTTGACTCCACAGGCTGTACATAAAAGATGGAAGTGCCCACAGTACTCTTGGACTATGGAGGCGTGACGACGGAGGGATCCGTGCGGCAGCGACCCGTCAGCCACACAGAAAATCCTACTTCCTGCTCCTTCCTGACGCTGATGAGACCATCACGCCCAGAACAAACGTCACGTTTTATTCAGGACCTGAAACCAGCGACTGAGACCACGAGCTAGTCAAGGTCGCCGGTTTGTTCCTCTTCCTGTCAGGCGATGACGACGAGCGTTAGACGGATATCGGTCTGCGACGAACGAGGCGGGGTGTTTATGAATGGGCTGTGGTGTGGGGAGCTACATCTGTGCTCCTCTGCTCTCACTACAATTCCCATCATGCATTATTCAGGCAGAAGCACAGGGATGCATTTTGCATGACGGCCTGTCGGCAGCTGAGCGCGAGCTGACCCAGAACTGAGGGGGAGAAGAAGACAGAAAGCGACATGTTTTCACCAGAAGGGAGAAGAAGAGTCGGAGGTCAGACGAACACGAAGTGACGCTTAAAGACATCAGAGATCCCGTCTGAGCTCCAGAACCTCCGCCGCTGTTTTTACTGCAGACGTCACCGAACATCCTTTAACATTCGATCCGGTTTAAAGCAGCCGCAGAAGATTTTCAACTCTCTGCTTTCATGTAACCTAAAATACTTGGAGACCGTGTGGCTGCGCTCGTGTTTTAACTCTTAATGTTCCTCGCTGTCCCGGTCTGACTGTAAACATGTAGAGCATCACTAACATTCAGGATCCCTGTGATGTCACACGGTCTATCGTTTGATTGCTCTGGTTTTAGTTTTGAGGCGTTTGGGATCCTGAATGTGGTGATGCTGTGATTGAGTCTTGGATCTTTTTACTAATGAGAACCTTCAGCTTCGCGATTGGTGTCTTTTTGCAGTCTTCCTGTGATTGGTTCGTTTTTTGGTTACTTCCTGGTTCTTCCTGGCTTCCTTCCTCTCTGTTGCTCTGTCTCTTTTTTGCATTGTCAGTTCATTCATGTTCAGCCTGACCTTGTTTCCTGTTTTATTTTGGTAGTACATAAAGGTTTTCTGTTGTGTATCCTTTTCTACCCGTCAGCCCTCAGAGTGTATAAATAGTCCTTTTGTTCCCATTGAGTGGCTGTTGTTCACGCTCCTCTTTGTTTTCCTCAGACTCAGTTTCATTTGTAGTTATTTCAGCTGTTTGCATAACGAGCTCCTTCCTTCTCACAGAGCGTGGACCCAGCAGATATCAGGGGTCAGTAGTGATGATGCAGCGTCCGTGTGCTGGGAAGAATTCTTCAGTTAACACAAACCAGGTTTAAACTTTGTTTTTTTCAGAGATTTTTCTCAGATTTGTGGATTATAAAAGTAATATTTGAATTTCTGCCCCTCCCTGTCTCACAAACTCATGCATCTGAGAGTAGCTCTGCAGCGAGGGCGCGTTTGGTCGGGGTCACCCTGTAGACGCAGCGTTTCTTCGTTAGCGCATATCGGTGTGTAACAGCACGGACTCTCAGGTAGAGCTGCGCCCACCCGTTCCCCTTTCTGCACAGCTCACGCCGACCGAAGGGTTTCACATGTCACTGCACACTCACAGCGTTTTCTACACACACTTACGGCGAGGCAGCCGAGGCTCGTCATCTCCTCCGAGGTTAACGTCACTTCATGCAGTTTAAACAGACTTCACAGCATGAGGGCGGGGATCAGAGGGAGCGACGGCGACGAAGAAGACGAAGACAGCGAGAGAGAGGGAGGAGAGGGCGGAGGAAAGGAAAAAGGAAAGGATGGAAAAACAGGAAAAGAACTTAAATCATGCAGCAACAAAAGAGAAAAACAGCGTGCAGACAGTCGGACAGCATGCAGAGCAAACAGAAAACGTGCAAACATGAAGACGCAGCTCAAAACGACTCAAAATCCCAGCATCCATCTGTTCTTCAAACACACGCAACACAGAAGCTTATAAATCGTCTCCTCAGAAACTGTCTCGCTCACACGGCTAAACAGGAGCGGGCTGCGTGCGGGCGCCACGAGGTCACAGCAGGTGGGTCCAGCTGTTCACAGTCAGCTGTTCACAGTCAGCTGTTCACGGTCAGCTATTCACAGTCAGCTGTTCACAGTCAGCTGTTCACCTGTTCACAGTCAGCTGTTCACCTGTTCACAGTCAGCTGTTCACAGTCAGCTGTTCACGCTGTTCACAGTCAGCTGTTTACAGTCAGCTGTTCAGCTGTTCACAGTCAGCTGTTCAC